CCATCAACAGGTGTTTGTTAGACACATTAGCTGCTTGTGGTGATGTCAATCGTAATGTTATGTGTAGTCCAAATCCTTATATTTCCGAGACTCACGGTCAAGTGCATGAATTGGCTAAAAAATTAAGTGCACACCTGTCACCTCAGACTTCAGCCTATCATGAAATTTGGTTGGATGATAAAATTGTCTCGGGCAGGGCTGTACAAGATTTCGAACCACTGTACGGTCCAACATATCTTCCACGCAAGTTCAAAATTGCAATTGCGGTTCCCCCTAATAATGATGTTGATGTCTATGCACATGATCTAGGATTCATTGCCATTGCAGAAAAAGGTAAAGATAAATTATTAGGTTACAATGTAACTGTAGGAGGTGGAATGGGAATGACTCACAATAACAAGAAGACATACCCAAGACTCGCAGAACTTCTTGGTTTTTGTAAGCCCGATCAAGCTGTCGACGTCGCAGAGAAGGTGATGTTAGTTCAGCGCGATTTTGGTGACCGAACTAACCGTAAGCATGCACGCCTCAAGTATACAATTGATGATAGGGATCTTAATTGGTTCCGCTCGGAGGTAGAATCTCGTTTAGGATACAAACTAGATCCACCGGCTGAATATCATTTTGAAGATAATGCTGATCGATACGGTTGGACAAAAGGTCTGGGTGATAAATGGCATTTTTGTATGTACATAGAAAATGGTCGTGTTAAAGATTTTCCAGGATTACCGACAAAGACCGGACTACGTGAAATTGCAAAGATACATAAGGGTGACTTCCGATTGACACCTAACCAACATCTCATCCTCGGTAATATTTCTCAAGCAGATAAGCCAAAAATCGAAGAAATGTTAAAGAAATACAAGTTAGACAATCTACAATTCACCGGTCTTAGAATGAATTCAATGGCATGCGTGGCGTTACCAACATGTGGTTTAGCAATGGCAGAGTCTGAAAGATATCTCCCTTCACTAGTCTCAAAATTAGAATCTATTATAGAGGAAGTAGGATTAAGAGACGATGCTATCACAATCAGAATGACAGGATGTCCTAATGGTTGTGCACGCCCTTATGTAGCAGAAATCGCGTTCGTTGGAAAAACCGTAGGTACATATAATGTTTATTTGGGAGGAGGATTTCACGGTCAAAGGTTGAATAAGCTATACAAGGAAAACATGAAAGAAGATGCGATCTTAAAAGAGTTAAAACCAATTTTATTACGATATTCTAAAGAAAGATTGGATGGCGAAAGATTCGGCGATTTTGTAATTAGGAAAGGTTATGTAAAGGCCACCATTGTCGGAAAAGATTTTCACGATTTATAATTTTTCAGTTTATACCATAATGAGTTGATTTAATATTTCTTAAAAGTTTCATGTCTCTTGTAGACAATTGTAATAACATAATCTTGTAATGAGCAAATCTATGTTTTTTTTTAATAAAGGTATCTTATCTAATCAAAATCACGCCTTAGATTTATTTTATGAATTATTGCAATGAGAATCACCAGGTTGAAAATAATGATAGTTACAAGCTCATAGCTACAATTTACTACGAAATATATGCCTAACGACGACGGTTAGTAGATCTCGACCTTGAACGTGAAGACCTTCTTGGTCGACGTTCTTTGTCTCGATCTTTTTCTTTATCCCTTTCTCTTTCTCTGTCCCTATCCCTATCCCTGTCCCTATCCCTGTCCCTATCCCTATCCCTATCCCGGTCCCTCTCTCTATCTCTCTCCTTTTCTCGGTCCCTGTCCCTATCCCTGTCTCGGTCCCTGTCTTTATCCCTGTCTCTGTCTCGGTCTCTTTCCCTCTCCCTCTCCCTTTCCCTCTCCTTGTCTCTATCCCTGTCTCTGTCTCTATCCCTGTCCCTCTCTCTCTCCTTCTCCCGGTCCCTCTCCCTTTCTTTGTCCCTGCTATCTTTTTCTCTTTCCTTGTCTTTATCATTATCTCTTACTTTATCTTTATCCCTTTCGTTATCTTTCGTTTTATCTTTATCTCTCTCCCTATCTTTCTCCTTATCACGATCTCTCTCCCTATCTTTCTCCTTAACACGATCTTTTTCTCTATCTTTTTCTTTATCACGATCCCTTTCACGATCTTTTTCTTTATCACGATCCTTTTCTCTATCTTTGTCTTTATCACGATCCTTTTCTCTATCCTTTTCTTTATCACGATCCTTTTCTCTATCCTTTTCTCTATCTTTTTCTTTATCTCGATCCTTTTCTTTATCTCGTTCTTTCTCACGATCCTGAATTCTGTCCCTATCTCGTTCTCTATCCCTTTCTTTATCACGATCACGTTCTTTATCACGATCCGTTCTATCTCTATCCCGTTCACGATCTCGGTCCCTATCACGTTCTCTGTTGTCTCGTTCACGATCGCGTTCTCTTTCTCTATCTCTGTCGCGATCTCTTTCTCTGTATCGGTCGCCTAAAATAAAGTTAGAAAAAATGTAATGCATATGCTAAGCATGAAAAGAAAAAAACAAGTACCTCTATCACGATCTCTTGAACGGGATCGTCTGCGATAATGATAATCTAGCAAAATTATGCGTTAAAAAGGAATATCATGATTCATGCATGAGAATTATTATTATTATTATTATTATCGAAGTTACCCCTTTCTCTAGACCTTGACCTACGTCTTCTAGGCCTGCTTCGGCTCCTTGTTCTAGATCTAGTTCTACTGCGCCTAACAGATTTTGAACGACTACGAGGAACGGTTGCATCGGCAGCCGGCGAGTTATTAGCATCCATCATTTCAACATCATTCATAGATGTCGGGGAATTATCTGCTGTCGGCCCATCGGTGTTCAATCGATTTGCAATTCTTAATTGTGCTTCTCTTACTCGACGCATAGTAGCTTGAACATCAGTGGAATCAGTTTTTTTAGGTGTCTTATTAATCGCGTTCTTTGAATGATTTACTCTAATAAAGAAAGTTTGTATAGATGCTTAAAATTTAAAATGAAATAAAATTAGCAAAGATATTCATACTTTAGTGGTCGATCACCCAACATAACGCCATTCATTTGCATAGCGGCTTGAGCCCCTTCGAAAGTTGCAAACTCCAGGAATGCAAATCTTGTTGGTTGAGCGGGATCCCCTGCCATCTTCACGTAAGCAACCGGACCGCATGCCGAAAAGAATTGCGTTAACTCTGGTTCCGATATCGAAGAGTTAATGTTTCCGATATACACGGTTCTCGAAATTTCTTCTGCTTTAGCTGGATCAAATTGTGCAACAGTTGGGGAAATGGAAGGATTTGCTCTTATAGCGGCCAAAGAAGTTGCCGAAAACGACAGAGCTAAAGGTTGTACCAAGGGTCTAGGAGGAATTGATTGTGGCTGTTTCGTCGAAAGCTGTCTAGGTGGAGATATATTTTGTGGGAGCAGTTGGGGTAAAGTCGGAGGTTGTTGATATGAATTCACATTTACGCTAAGAGCAGTTGACGAAACCATTAATGATCGACCACCAATTTCCACACCAGTTAAATGTAAGGCCGTTATGGCCGAATCTGTGTCTCTAAACTCTATCATGCATTCTTGCACACCATCGCCGTGAGGACTACAAAAATAATTCTCGGATCAACTTGAAATTCTTACCAAAACCTTTGAGCGCGGCGTAAAAGAAATAAAGTCGATTAACCTATTGTACAGATTTATGCTTCTTACTTCACCCAAGAATTCAAATAATTTTTTTAATATTGGTTCTGTTACACGAGGTGATATATTTGCAACCTTGAATGGACGTCCAGAATAGTTTCATAAAAATCAATACCACTAAAAAAAAAAAACATTGGAAAAGAAAAATATATGTAAATCAAAAGCAAACCTTTACAACGTTATCAACTGACATTGATGAACCTACCTCGCGATTCCACATCCCGTCCTCTTTTATATACCTGATGTGAAGATCATTTTCGATTGGTCAATCGTATCATTCTAATGCATGAGGTGCTACGTAGTACGATTTTTTGAATTGTTCGAGAAACATACTAGAAAGAGAGGGTTTGTGTTAACAACAGTGACTTTCTATGATCAAGTTTGAGTCATCTAATCATCGGTTATAAAATGTTCGATCTCGCACTTCAACAATTTTCTTCTCTTGAAAAAAATTTTTTTTTTTGTATACGACCATTGAAAAATGGGAAGGTTATATTTATTAGATTATGGTGCTGGAAACGTTCGTAGTTTGGTGAACGCTGTGAATTCTCTGGGATACGAAATAGAATGGGTTAAGGAACCCGAAGACATTTTGAAAGCAGAAGTAGGCAATGTATTTTCGTCAAGAGTTTTTTTTGTAATTGAATCAATGTCGATCTAATGAATGCCTTAATATTCACGTGATTTTACGAAGAAACTGATTTTTCCAGGTGTTGGTGCATTCGGTAGCGCAATGGAGTCTTTAGCATCTAAAAATTACTCGGAACCTTTAAAAAAATACATCTCATCGGGAAAACCGTTCATGGGAATATGTGTCGGCTTGCAAACTTTATTTGATAGTTCTGAAGAAAATCCACATGTTCCTGGATTAGGAATCATTCCGGGTACCGTGAAACTTTTTAATAAATCCGACAAAGCAGTACCACATATGGGATGGAACGAAGTATCTTTCCTCAAGGAACTTGAAAACGGCGACGAAGATCAGCGCCAAAATTTTCATTATGGCATTCGAGAAGAATCCGTTTACTACTTTGTTCATTCCTATGCAGTACCATTTTCCGATGAACTCAAGGAATGGACACTCGCGACCACCCAGTATGGTAAGGAAATGTTTGTCAGTGTAATTCAAAAAGACAACATTTTCGCCACACAATTTCATCCTGAGAAGAGTGGATACGCGGGCCTACGAATTCTGAAATCTTTCTTGCAAGGAAGTGGCATTGTAGACGTCTCCGATCAAAATATAGTAACAAAAGATCTAGTATTACTATCACACCATCGCTTCACCAAAAGAATAATCGCCTGCTTAGACGTGAGAACTAATGATCAAGGGGATTTGGTAGTAACTAAAGGCGACCAATATGACGTACGAGAACGTAATGACACAAGCACCTCGGGACAAGTTCGTAATCTTGGAAAACCTGTTGATTTGGCACGTCGATACTTTGAAGAGGGGGCTGATGAAATTACATTTTTGAATATTACAAGTTTTCGCAACTGCCCCCTAGCCGACTTACCTATGTTGGAAATTCTAAAGCTTACATCCGAAACAGTTTTCGTTCCTTTAACTATTGGCGGAGGTATTAGAGATGTCACCGACCCAAACGGTAAATATTACACTGCGCTTGAAGTGGCCGGCGAATATTTTAGATCTGGTGCAGATAAAGTCTCGATTGGTAGTGATGCGGTATATGCCGTTGAAAAATATTTATCCAACAATTCAAAATTATCCGGCGACACTGCCATTGAAACTATTGCTCATGCTTACGGATCTCAAGCGGTTGTGATTTCCGTCGACCCAAGGCGCATTTATGTCAAATCTCCAAACGACGCACCTGGACATCACGTGATAAACACGAAATATCCAGGTCCGAATGGTTCGTAAACAATACAATATATTATCAATTGAATCTATTGTTTGCTATTCATCTTATTAATTGTTGTTTTTTAACAATAGTAAGTAATTTTATGCTATTTGATTGTTAATGAAAAAGAATGTTGAATTATCATTACTACATCATTGTTGATGATTCAAATTATAAATAAGTCCCATTTTCATATGTTTGAGCAAAGATATTGCTAAAATACCGAGGATCACAAGAGATTTGAAAATCATATGAGACCTCACCCGAAACATTGAGAAGGCAAACAATCAAGACATCAAGCATCAGAATACCTGGTATTCTGTAGCGGATGTAGAAAGGATCTTTGAAAATCAAGAAAGATAAATGAAAAGAAAAAGATCTGTTACGCAAGAATTAGCCCAGAAAAAGGATCTCGACAGGCAATGTGAGTATCTCAGACAGAATGCCCGGACCACGAACTCATCGGGACATTAGGTCAGGTCTCGACTGGAAACGTAAGGGTTTTATAACCATTTTGGAACGATCGTACCGAGGTTATTATCTTTTCGACAAGGCACAATAGTCAATCAGTTGAGAACTGAAAACGACGAAGAGGGATTTAAACACGAAAGATACGTAGTTACCCAACGCCCAAAGAAAGAGAAAGTTAAGAAAGTAGATAGGAACTGGGAGATGGACGTATAACAAAGTTCTTGAGTTGGTACAGGACGATGGAATCACCGACATGAGTGCTTCACAACTGAAGAATTCCCTCTGGGTAAAAGGGACCCCTAGGGAAGCACGTTCGTACGCGATTCGACAATTGATGGGCGCATACAAAACAAACAAAAAGTTGCGTGGTAACAATTTTCGAATGAAGTGCTGATCGAAGAAGGATCGAATACAAACCATCTCGATCGTTGCTAGGGATTAGAATAGGAACAGAGGGAAATACGCGTTCCTAAAAAATATTATCACCTCAGAACGATCACCTGATATCAATAATACGGCTAACATAATGGGACATTTTTACTTGTCTCTTTGGATATTATCAATAACCAAGATGATGTTCAGGGAAAGGTAATTAATTACACTTGATCCACGTTTATGACCGGTTACGACCCTGACAGTCAGTTAATCGAGTGGGGTAACGGTAATTTTAATAAAATATTCAAATTATCCAATAGATATGACAAATTACAGAGCAACCAAGATCTCGCTTTTGGAAGAACAAACAAGAAAAGAGAGTTCGATTAGGAAAAAAGATGCACGAATTTTACAACGAATCCGTAATTTGATCGATGAACAAACAAAAAGATTCGGTCAAAGACTGCTCGTTCGATGCTGACCTGGTCGCATCTCAGATTTCGAATGTTACTTTACACAAGATAAGAGAGTACAAGTACTGCAAAGTCCTTGAGTGCACCGAGGAGTATACTTCAAAGACGTGTAGGCATTGCGGGCAAATTAAGACTTTCGATGTGATTCGTGTGAGGTTGAGATGTATTGGGACGCGAATGGTGCCAGAAATATCTTGCTCAAACATTTGACGGATGGTCAGATTTTTTGACCCGACTTTGGGACTTGAACCTATTTGGGATACGATATGCATAGTAAAGACTAACTTTAATTATTCATATTGGATTCAATTTCAAGGGTGAATCCTGGTGCTGGTACCAATGTACCGTGAAAGGTGGTCGAGAAGGGAGGGACGTTGACGTCCATCAATTGGTAACCGCATGTGAAACTATGGGTGCCGGCGAAATACTCCTTAATTGTATGGATAAAGATGGTACAAATTCTGGATACGATCTTGAATTGATACAGGATGTTAAAATGGCTGTCAAGATACCAGTTATTGCCTCAAGTGGAGCTGGTAAGTTGGAGCATTTTTCCGAAGTATTTTCTGAAACTAAAGTTGAAGCTGCTCTTGCGGCCGGTATATTTCATCGACGTGAAGTACCCATTCAAAGTGTTAAAGGCTATTTAAAAGAAAAAAATTTCTTAGTCCGAAATGACTATTCAAAATTATAAATTATGTGATTATGTGATTTGTGGAGGGAAAAATGCCAAGCTAAGAAAGAAATTTTCTACACAGAAAGACATGTACTACCTTAATTCTTATAATTAAAAAAATCCAATTCGTTTTTCGAAGATCACATCATTGCAATTTCTAAGAATGCGTCTAAAAATTTATCATTGCGCGTCACGTAATCCGGGTGGTGGTAACACGCGTTTCGACGCGAAATCAATTATTCAACTTCGTACTACCATGATAGTTTTTTTATTAAAATCAACAAAATCATTTGTATATCACAAATAAATACTATTAATTTTATTTTCAATTAATAGTTCATTGAAAAAATGATTTACAAAATTATTATTCTGTATTTTTCAATCTAGAATTAATTTTTTTTTAAATGGAAAATTAAATTATGACCTTACGACACATGGTTAAGATTTCTACTTTTGAAATCAACTTTTTGGTGACACTTATATTACAATGTTTCACGAGTGATAATGGGGAAAGTCACATTGATGACTAATCAGGAATAACTCCGGCCAAAAAAAAAAATTACAATTTGATGACCAGGATAGCATATCTTCTTGTCTAGAACTATAATGTGCAGTATGACGTCCGTATGATTCATTGTTGAAGAAAATCATTAAAAACGCGTACAAAAATGTCTATCTACTCTCATAATT